TTCCAAAGACAGGGAAATCCCTGGTGGTCAGCAGGGTTACCAGAACTAGTGTCCCCCATTGGAAGATTTCCCATCTATTCCAGCCCACAAATTTGTTTTTTTTTTTCACTTTCAGTGATAATGGTCAACAGGACAAATAGAGAGGGTGAATCTCCCTAACAGGGGCACAGACAGCAATAAAAACCTGACAGGTCCTCTAATCCCTCTCTTCTCTATCCAAAACAAAAAGTGTTGGCTTCAGTTGCACTTTAAAAATAGAAGATTTAAAGTGCCGGCACCGTGTGGCCGCCCAAATGTTGGGTTGTTCTCAGGGACGTAACTAGAAATCACAGGGCCACATAGCAAAATTTGTTATGGGGGCCCCATGTGCCAGCCTCCTTCTCCTTCACCAGGCCCCACCCCCTCCCATGCTGCCGACCACGCGCCCCGCCTCCTCCTCCACCGCCGGGTCCAGCCTGCGCTACCGCCGCTGCTGGCCTCTGTGGAGAGGAACGCGCTGCTGCACAGATTACTGTCGGTGTACTGTCTGTCATCTGAACAGCAGCGCATTCTTCTTCAGAGCCGCCAGCAGAGGATGTCATAGCGACCCAGGCGGCCCGCACAGCATCTGGCCGGGCCCCACTGTGCCCCGGGCCCCAAAGCGGCCGCCTGGGTCGCTATGGTGATTGTTACGCCACTGGTTGTTCTAAAAGGGCAAAGCTCTGACACTTCTGGAAAGTTTTGGAGCTTGCTTGCCCACTCCTGCCCCTCACATTCCTGGTGGCCCATCAGTAGGAAGGGTTGCCTTGTTGGCCAACGAGGATGTATATAAGATAGGAGGCGGGTGGGTAAACTGCGTCGTAATCTGGAAAAAAAATTGGAAGGGGGGATGTAATGCATAATAATTATTTTATAATGTCGCTTTTACAATATTATTTAATAAGTTCAATTATTACACAAACAGCCTTTTAAATCAGATCATTGAAATGATTTCTTTTTATTAAGTACCAGGCCTGACCTATGTTGTGGATACTTTGGCTTTTCTTCAGATATTAGGGTTCGTCTAGATCGTTTTGTAAACCTTGCCGCTCTGAATTTTGTCCCCTTTTTTTTCACTAGGAAAGCAGATATTTGATGGATCAGGTAGTGATGGAGTCAAACCAATGTACAGAGGTCAAAGTCTTAAGAGGCAGCCAGTACAGATTGCTTTGTAATCAATTGCACATGATTAGAGGTAATGCAAAAAGCAACACAATCATCATTATCCTGTCTTTGATCTCTGCTCAGTACCATCTTGTGAAAGTTACGAGATGTTTCTGCTTTGAAGTAAACAGCAATATAAGTAATTCAGGTAGTTGTTTATAAAAGGTAACTAGTTTGATAACAAAATGGCTTAGCTTTTTCTTTTTTTTTTTATATCAATGAAGCTTCGTGCTGGTATGCTTGCACGCATTAAACACTTTTTTGTGCTTGTTGTGATGGTACATATTTGCAAAGCATTCACCAAACATTCACTGGCGGTGAATCATGCACTGCATATTAAGGGCCTATTCACACGTCTCCACCCCTGTGTGCATTAATGAGTGCTGTGGCACGTGTTAACGTACGTTGCGTTAAGGCAACCCATTATGCTGACCTACAGGAATGGACCAAAAAATGGACATGCAGCGGGTTTTTTTTCCAACGCAGCTTACCACAATGCACTGTAGTGCTTTACTGTACGGCACACTGCGCTGCAATGCATGTGCGTCAGAGCTGCATTGCCTTAAAATATTGGGGATCTGTTCCAAAAGAATGGCACCGCACCATGCTAACACACATAGCATGAGCTAACATACAGTGCGGTAATGTGTGCATTACCACAATCCACCCACTCGCTATGGTATGTTTCAGCCCAAAGGGCTCGTTTCCACCAGCCCATGTGCTCATCGCACTTTCCCGTGCCCGGAACGCAAGGGATTACTCAAATTCTCCTTACGTTCTGGGGCGGGAGGGGGCGTGGCATTCATGTAAATGGAACTGCAGACACACACCCCACACTAGGACAGCGAGGGAATACAATGCCCTGCATTCCAGTGTGGTATGATTGCAAAAAAAAAAGTGCATGCACGTGGTCCTGTATGGACCGATCGCACTGCGGGCGGGGGGACCAGTTCCATTTACACCAATGGCACTGCCACGCCCCCTCCTGCCCAGAACACAAGGAGACTTTGTGTATGCGATCCCTTGCGTTCCGGGCACAGGACAGTGCGATGAGCGCACGGGCTGGTGGAAACAAGCTTTACAACACATTTGGGTTGATTTACTAAAGGCAAATAGACTGTTAATTTTTGCAACTGAATTTTCTTCTTTTTTTTTTTTTTACTTTTCAGGAAGTTATGGTCTTGTTGGGTTTATGACAGGATCAACAGGTATGTACTTGCACTTCAGCCAGATATGAAACACTTTCAATAGTACACGCAGGGCCATGCCTACCTTTCACGCCACCTGAGGCTCTTGAGCAGGGGAC